GAGCCATCCCGCCGCGGCACGCCCCACGCGATGTGCAGCGGCAGTTCGGGGGGATCGACCTGTCGCTCCGCCGCACCGTTCAGTGCTAGCCCGTCAACGTCCCGCGGGACTGGCCTGTCGTCGAACCCATAGAATGTCTGGGAGTCGCTGCCCTCGGGCAGCGCCCAGGCCGTCTCTTGATCGAAGAAAGCCCGGGTGTCGCCGCCTGCGATCAGCGGCGTCTCGGCATAGGAATTACTTCCAGGCGAGACCCCGAAGAACCGCAGGGGCGGGTCAGCATCCATGGTCGCCACCAGCCTCTCACGGAGCACGCGCAGGCATTCCTCCTCGCACTCCACCAGCACGAACTGCCCGGCCAGGGTTAGCGGCGAGGATCGACGCCCAGGAGCGCTGCCAGTGCAGGATCTTGCCCCGCTCTCGTGCTCAGGCCCTGGTCGAGACACTCGAGCTCGTCCTGCACCGCCACCATCGCCGACTTGATCGAGTGCGGGAGGGGCGTCCGCAACGCATAGCAGACGAAGTGGAGACTCCGCGCGAGGCCGGGTAGCATATCTGGCAGCCAAACGAGTCGTCGAGTCAGGGCAATCCACTTTGTTGAATGGTCCGATGATCCTGGGCTGGGCTCGTTTTCGCCATCGTTCTCCAGCTCGGACGAAGGGGGGCCATGGTACACTTAACGAAGTACGGCCGACTGAGCAGCAAACTATCGCAACAAGAATTGGTAGTGCACGAAAAAACTCCATTTAACCGCCAATCCTGTCGTAGCGTTCTTCCTGCGTCTCCGGCATGCGACTCCCGCCACGGGACGCATATTTGGGCGAGGCTGGGGCGAGAGGTACTGAAGGGAACGGGCCGCCCGAAGCCCGGCCTCTTGATCACCGAGAAACTAGAAAGCAATAGACGGCGTCGTAACGACGGCGACAGACAACAACGTGCAAGCACTGACAACATACGTACACCGACATGTATGTCATATACATGTACATAAATGTGATCTATTAGTGCGTGGAGAGAGAGCACGTGGCCACAGCTTGAGCAGGGACCGACCGTCCTGGCATTCCTACAGTCCTACCACGATATGTTCTTAAAACCGTGTGTTCTAAGAGCAAAAACAGTGTTCTTAGAACATAAGCCCGATGTGTTAAAACAAGTCCGTCCCAGCCAGAAATGTTCGAATAACATTTCTTGCCGACCACCAAAAGTTCGTAGAACACTCTTTGGTGGGCATACAAGCGAGCCAGGACACTTCGCCACTGCTTGAACAGTCTGATCGAGAGGTCGCGCGCCTGCCAGCGGCGCGCACACGGGGGCCGAGGGCGAGCGGGGCGGCCGCAGCGTGGGGCGCGCACACGGGGCCGAGGGCGAGTGGGGCCGAGGGCGCGTGGGACAAGAGCGGGGCCGAGGGCGAGCGAGCCCCCCTTACCATCATCATCATCATCATCATCATCATCATCATCATCATCATCATCATCATCATCATCATCATCATCATCATCATCATCATCATCATCATCATCATCATCATCACATCATCATCATCAACATCATCATCATCATCATCATCATCATCATCATCATCATCATCATCATCATCATCATCATCATCATCATCCTCATCATCATCATCATCATCATCATCACTATCATCATCATCATCATCATCTCATCAGCATCATCATCATCATCAGCAGCAGCAGCATCAGCAGCAGCATCATCATCAACATCAGCATCATCATCATCAACATCATCATCAGCAGCATCATCAGCATCATTATCATCACCACCACCACCATCAGCACCATCATCGTCGTCATCATCGTCGTCATCATCACCATCACCATCACCATCACCATCACCATCACCATCACCATCATCACCATTACCATCACAATCACCATCACCATCACCATCACCATCACCACCATCATCATCATCATCATCATCATCATCATCATCATCATCATCATCATCATCATCATCATCATCATCAGCTCCCAGAGGACGAGAGCGTGTGCGCGTTTGGCGGGCCGGCCCCCCTGGGCCCCGCGCCCTCTCCAGAGGCCGCCCGCCCCTTGCTCTCGCCCCTTCTGCTCGCCGCCAGGCCGAGGCGGAGGCGCTCAGACCTGGTGGGCCCACGCCTCACTGCCACGGCTGTCGACCAGGGGCGGCTAACCTATGGCAGCGCTTTGCTATGGGAGGCGCCGATGTGTAGTAGCGGTAGCGAAAGTAGGAGGGCAAAAAATCCACCCCCATTATAACCACCCCGACACGCGAAGCCGTTTACTGAACGCACCCACTGAAGGAATCGAACAGGGCAGGGCTGTTCAGTAAACGCCCAAGGCCGTTTAGTAAACGCCAATTGTCCGGTCCGCAAGAGTTTTCCACCCTTGAGAAAGATGAGCTCGTGAACGCCCGGGCCTGGAGTCGCAGTGAGATGCGCGACCAGCGGCCTCCGCAGAGCATGGACTTCCCGCAGGCAACAGGCACTCACGGCCGGGTGAAGCGGACGAGCGGCGCATGCGACGGGCACTCGCTGCACGGTGCAGCATGGTGAAGCAAACCTGGTAAAGGCGACAGGCACTCACTGCACGGTTAGCGACCCTCGGCATCTGAAGCGGAGGCTCGAAGCACCCGAGATGTTGGCCAGACCTTCTGACCTGACGTTCTGGGAGCTCCGTTGGGGTGCGCCACACGTAATTACCCCAGCAAAGCATCCGAATGACACGATGCTGAAACCGTCGTGAGAGGGCCCTGAAAGGATGCTCATGAGAGGGTCCTGAGAAGCTCTTCAGAAAGGCTCTTGATAGTGGCTCCAGAGAGAGGCTCGTGAGAGGGTCCTGAGAGTCCAGAGAGGGTCCTGGGAAGCCACTGGGAGGGTCCTGGGAAAGGTCTGAGAGGGTCATGAGAGGCTCCTGAGAGGGCCTGGGAGGCTGCTGACAGGGTCCTGGGAGGGTCCCGCGAGGGTCCTGGGACAGTCCTGCGAGGCTCCTGAGAGGCTCCTGAGAGGCGTCCCGCGCGATGACAAGACAAGGGACGGCGATGGGCCGCAGGCGGCACGCCGCCAGCGCGACGGCACTGCACGCGCAGCCGCCAGGACCACCCTGGGCGAGCTTCTGGATCTTTCTTTTGTTCCGGATCGTTTCAGCGAAGACCAGACAGCGGGCCTCACTTGCGCGAGATGGCATGGCGACCGTGCGCGGTGGCTTACGCGGGCCGCCAGCGCGGCACGCCACCCTGGAAACGGAAGCGCTCACGCGCGGCCTCACGCGGGCAACTTGCGCGCGAACATCCGCGCAGTCGAACCCGCTTTTCTGCGTCGCTCGTTGGATGGCCGCGTGAGAGCCCAGAAGCTAAGCGCTGTTGGTGAAAAAGACCATCTGGACCACCAGGACCCCGCAACGGTCCTACCACAAGGACCCCACCAGGAAACGATCAGGACCCTCTTGGCCTCGGCGAGCAGGCCAAAATCACTGATGTTCCCAAGGTTTGGGCCGCATCTTTGGCCTCTTGGGGGGGGGGGCCTAATGGTGCACGGTCCCTCCTTTGATCGATCTCCTCCGAAATGGCCTCAAGACGGCCCCCGAGACTGCTAGAAAGAAAGACTCGTAACGAACGGGGCGCGCCGCCGCCTATGGCGCCGGCGTCGGCTCGCGCGGGCCGCACGGCCCGCCGACGTCAATTCATGGGAAGCCACCACCGACGACACCACCATTAGGTCGGGCATGTCTCCATACAGGCGGATTTTGGGCGAAAAATCTAAAGTGGCCCCGTGCGGCTGGCTGCCTGAAGGGGAGCACGGAAAGGGCAGGGGCAGCCAGCATCGGATCGCAAAATCGGACAGGATTGGAACATGCATCGAGTCGGCCCGCATCGAAACGGAGTCGGGATCGAAGCGAATCGGCCGCGCCAGGATGCGCAACAGCGCCATGCAATCTTCAGGCCGCATCGGGTCGCCAGAACATCGGAATCGTGTCGGATCGTTCGTTCGATAGCAAGCCATGTCGCACGACAAATCTCGAGTAGGGGATCGACTACGAAATTAATTTACCCCAAAATCGAACGTGCGAACAAATGCTCGTAGACCTACGAGCGCTAATTCTACGCATTTTTCGTGGCTTCGACGAACACAACAATTTTGGGGTACGTAAATCAATTATGTAGTCGTTCCCTCAGCTCAGCAGGGGGACAAATTGATCAGCGCATCGTTCGGTGGCAACTCATGGGAGCCTCCCATACCACCTTATCGGCTCTTGCGAATCGACGCTTATCGACGCGAAATCGACGCTGATCGACGCGAATCGGCGCTGAGTCGACGCCAAGTCGACGCTAAATCAACGCTATATCATCGACTCCCAAACGCTAATCGACGCTCAAACGAAGTTATCCGATGACTTGCTACCGAAGCATCGAATCTGATGGGCATATTTTCCACCACCACTACCATGTGTAGGACGGCGGAGAAGGGAGGATGAGGAGGTCCTTCTCCTCCTCCTCATCCTCCTCCTCCTTCTCCTCCTCCTCGTCCCTCTCCTACATGTGGTAGTGGTGGTGGAAAATGGGCCCATCAGGATCGGGTCGGCCGAATGCGATATCGCAGCGGACCGATCGGATCGAAGAGAGCCCTGTTTGTGCAGTGCCGCGCGGCGGCCCGCGTCGAGGCACGCGTCGCAGAGGGCGGCGAGACGCGCGTGATCACTGGGAGATTTGCGCCCCGACCTCGACCCTGCAGAAGAGAGAGGAAGGGAGAGAGAGAGAGAGAGAGGGAGAGGGAGAGGGGAAGGGGAGAGAGGGAGAGGGAGAGGGGGAGGGGAAGGGAGAGAGAGAGTGAGAGTGAGAGTGAGGGTGACACTGAGAGACAGTGAGAGAGTGCGAGAGAGAGTGAAAGTGAGAGGGACGGCGAGTGTGAAAGAGAGAGAGAGAGAGCCAACAAAAAAATAAGAGAGAGAGAGATAGAGATAGAGAGAGAGAGAGAAAGCAGGCAACACGAGAGTTGACGCGGCCGTCTCAATGTTGTGTGCGAAGACGTCCATGCCGCTGTCGATGACCTCGCGGCACTGTCAAGGCTCTGATTAAGAAATCAGTGCCATATAGATGGGCGCATGCCGAACGGGACCCCGAGCGGATCCTGGTCGTATCGAGCGTTGCGCTGCACCAAGCGTCGCGACGCTGGCAACCATGGCAGGGGGGGGGCGCGAGGGCTTACCGCAGAAGAGGCAAGCGCGCCACGCGGATCCAGCAAAGGGCTCGTGCATAGTTCAAGTGCTAAAGCTGATATGCCGGCCCAAGAACTAAGATGTGCAGAAGGAAGGGAAAGAACAAAGAGAAGAGAGCGGTGGGGGAAAAAGGGGAGGGCGAAGAGGGACTGGAGCAGGGAGGAGGGGGAGGAAGCGGAGGACCGACTGAAACCTTTTACACGTGCGGGGGGGCGCAAGCGAACGCAACACATATGCGAGCACATGTCGTTTCCGAAGGCGCGACCTCAGCTCAGCGGCTAAACGCGGTCCCACAAAGATGGCGAAACATAAATGCATGAGCGTAGCGCCGAACCGCTACAAGCTCAAGAGGAGCCAGGGCGCCAAGCTGTCCCGCGAGATCCCCGGTGTGGTCACCGCAAAGCGCCCGCTCGAGGGCGTCATGCACCGCCTGGAGTGCTGGTTCAAGCGGGAGCGCGAGCGCGGCCACGAGGTCAGCAAGAAGACCATCCTGACGCGGCTGTGCTACGAGATGGCCTCCTCCTCCTCCTCGTCCTCCTCGTCCTCCTCCTCCTCCTCCACCTCCTCCTCCTCCTCCTCCTCATCCTCCTCCTCGGAGGATTTCGACTAGGAAGGTTCCGACGGTAGCGCTCACACAACATTGTATGGTAGTTAGGGGCCCCCAGGTTTTCCAATGTTGAGTATGTTTAGCGGTTGCCCGTACGCAGGCAAGTCTTGGGAAGCTCTTGGGAACTCTGTGTAACCAGTCGGCCCAAGAGAGGCTGAAGGCGAGAGCGGATCAGGAGCTACAGATAGCCCCCCTGATGAGGTCTCACGCTGTGAAGGCTGCCCTGTTGGGGGCCGCGGCTTTTGAAGGTGCAGATTTGCCACAGGACCAATGGCCTCACGAGGCCCCTGGGGACCCTGCGCCTTCCGAGGAAATCGTCGAGCTCCAGGGCCATCGTGTCTTGGTGCTCCTGTGGGTCATGGTGTGCACTCTGTGCTGCTCCTATCAGGTGTCCAGTGGCAAAGTGGCGAATTGCATATTGCAGGATAGCTGTTTGGGGCCATCGGAGCACGGGCAGACCAGATAAAAGCAGACATATACTATATCTGCTATCAAGGCTGGTCGCCATCCCAAGTCGGGCAAGTATTAAGACCCGACTAAGTTTGTATGATAGGCCCGCGCTCCCGTCCCTCGGTTGCACGACCAGGCCTGCTCCTCCTCCTCCTCCTCCTCCTCCTCCTCCTC